ATAATAATTATAATAATTATATGCATTCAGAAAGTCCAGTTTTGTGGAAGACAGCATTTGACCACTGGATTCATTTTAATTATTTTAATTTTAAGAAGTGTTTTCTCAGAATTTCAACATTGCATCAACTACTGAAGAACACACTCATTTTTATTTGAATTATCACTCAGTAGGTTATTTAACCATGCATTACTATGTCTTCGGAAGGCTTTTGTCTTTCAAACACATTTAAATGCACAAATTCACGTTGTTTTTTATTTATATGTAATGCAGGGATTCCCAAACATTTTTTGCCAGCCAAACCACTTTCACCAAATATATTTACTTGAAGTACCCCTGAGACATTAAAATAAATATTTTAATAATTGAGTATCGCATGTTCACAGTTCTCTGATATTGTTTAATGGTCACAAATAAAATATATTTATTTCCTAGTCCTAGACTAAAATGTAAGTCTGAGCTGTTTCAACTGAAAGAAACTTGCATTGACTGATCTTAAAATATATCAGTGCCTTTGTTTTATCTCAAGATGAACACCAGTAATGTTTTTTTTTCTAAGCAAGTTTATGAAAATGGCTTAAATGTCTTAATTGAACTATGATCTAATCCTGGCTTAGTCTAAGCCCCGTCTGTGAAACCGGGTCTTTGTATTTTTTATCATTGTGGTACAAGATTATCCTTTTTAAATCAATGTGATAAATGAGTTTGGTCAAACGTAATCTAAAAGTAATCAAAGTAGTCCGATTACATTACCTAAAATGTGTAATGTAATGGATTACGTTACTAACTACAATTTTTGTCATGCAATTTGGAATCGGTAACGAATTACAATTTGTAATTAATCTACCCAGCTCTGTATATATACTGTATATATATATATGTACAACACAAAAATCACGGGAGCGGAAGAAAACAGTCCCGCACAGGGCTGTAATTTCCACCCTTAGGAAATATACCTCTTTAGGGTGAAGTTGTAATTATTCACCCATCATGTTGTTATTTTGTACGTTGAAACTCTGATATGCCGCAGTTCTATCATGACTTTGACGGGTCTGGTTTCCGGAGGAAAGCAAAGATGTACATCAGTGATCTGTGGAACATTCTGGATGTGCTCTCAATCATACTGTTCATTGCTGGTCTGGTCTGCAGGTAAACGCAACTACAATTAAGACATGATTCATATTAATTCCGTACAGTTCATTTTTGCTTTCAATAAGTTGAGATTATACAGAAATGATCCTCATACTTAGAGCTGTATAATTTTTTTTTAAACAATTACTAATATGTATCTCTGTATTTATGTATTTCCTCTGAAATCACTTAAAAGGGTCTTTTTTTAATCAAGAGGAACCATAATTTTGATCAAACAGTCAATGTAGTCAAGTTGAATCAGTAAAAACAGTGAAAATCTAGTTACAGTAATAGTTTTCATTATGGTAAGGGGAAACTTATTATTCCCATAAAGAATTATGAAATTATTAAAAAATTATTTTCTCTAGAACAGATATACGAATTACTCAAGTTAATCAGAACTTGTGTAATTTATACATTTGGTTTTAGAGAAAATAGCTGTAAACAACTGTAAAATCAAAGAAATTGTTGTGAAGTTGTTCACAGATTTGCATATTGTTTGGTTAATAAAAAAATAATAAATAGCAATATTTAAAAAGTAATATTTAATAAAAAAAGCAGTATTTACCTACAGATGTTTGCTAAAACATTTTAATGCATTAAAAATTCCATGTGGAATTCCGAATTATGAATCTGCTCATTAAAACAATTAAAACGATTTCAATGAAAATTTAATGCAAAATGCAAATTAAATTGTTCTATGTTATATTATATTATATTATATTAATGCATTTGCAAACTATTAATGTTTCTTATTATATTATAAAATTGCATATGGAATTATATGTATATATGCAAAAATATGTTGTTTTGTATACTATACTTGTTTTGTAAGGACTATTAGTCAGTAGTTTAAGTCAGTTGTAGACCGTTTTTTTAATTAAATATTAAATAAAATGTAATGCATTTTAAATACGCAATAAAATTTAATGCAAAATGCTATTTAAATATGCATATTCATTCAACTGAAATAAATCAAACTTTCAACATTAATAGACTCTCTTGTAGCCCATATAAAGGAATCATATTTAAAGTTTGTGTTCCTCATGTGTTCATTTAAATCCAGTTAAGTTGCATAATGACTCAGAAATGAATTGAAAGTAAACTAAATCAGTCTTTTTGTGTTTGTCGTACAGACTTCAGGCCTCCAGTACTGTGTTCTATGTGGGTAAAGTTATTCTCTGCATCGACTTCATCATATTCTGTCTCCGATTAATGGCCATCTTCACTATCAGCCGAACTCTGGGCCCCAAGATTATCATCGTCAGGAAAATGGTGGGTTTGCATGTTCATAATGCTCATTTATTCACTCATAATTGATAATAATTCACTTATAATTGATAATTATACAATAATTCTATACAGCCTAAGTTGTGAGAGACTCACAAGGAATCAAATATTTCTTGATCATTTGAAAGGAACGAGTTCATTGTAAAATGAAACATCCTGGACCTCAGGGGCGAAAAAGATTCATATGAGCCTCTCATAATGTAACATATTTTTGCATAAAAGCAAATGCAGACAGACTGAGCTATGAATGTTGTCTCTTCTCTTTGCAGATGATGGATTTGTTCTTCTTCATGTTTCTGCTCAGTATCTGGGTGGTGGCGTATGGCGTGGCCAAGCAGGGCATTTTGATTCACAATGAAGACAGACTGAACTGGATCATCCGCGGAGCCGTCTATGAACCCTACCTTATAATTTTCGGCAACGTCCCCACTAATATAGACAGTGAGCAGTTTACTAACTTTACAATTGAAATCACTCGATTGCGCACTAAAGGAAGACATCACAACAGTAGGGTTCTGATAAGTAAATCTCACTCATTTTCTCCACAGAGTGCAATAATGTATAAACATTTTAAGATGCACCTACTATGAGCTCCAAGAGTTGGTGTGATTTATACTTTATTGAAAAAAAGTTGAGTAACTATATTAAAGATGTAAGATGAAGTTGACGATCCTGACTCGCCATCTCCTCACTGGACGTGCCTTTAGAGAGAATAGCATCTTTACGGATTACATAATAAAAGAGTTTTTGTTTTCGATTATAATTATTTCATTTTATAGTAGGCTTGCCGCGATAGACGGTGCTGACGGTGATACCGTTGTTAAGCCGCAACACCGGTTACGTTTCGTATTCGTGATTTAGTTTCTAAACGAAATGCAAAAGCGCCTGTTTGGCAGTATTTTGGATTTTGAAAAGCCTGTTGACTTTTGCCGTTTATCTAAGGTGATTTTGGAAGTTTTTATTTATTTTTATATTTATTTTTTTTATTTTTAAATAAGTTTTCTTATTTAATTGGTTCCACAGTGTTTGCTGATTTTTACTTTATTTAAACTTTGTGTCATTTATTTATTTTATTTGACATCAAGGTGTATGCCGTGCCTCCAAGCTTTCTTACTCGTTTTGCTAATAAACGTTCTACGTTTCTTATTTATTTGGTTATATATTATACGTTTACTTATTTCCAGTTTTGTATAGGCTACCTATTTAAACTTTATGCAAGTTATTTGTTATTTTATATTAGGCATAGCCTGCCCTATAGCATGGTGTATTTTTATTCGTTTTGTTAAAGTTCTATGTTTTATATATAGGCTAAAGTGAGTTTGACGTTGTATTTTGTTGTTGCATTCAAGCAATTGACGCCGAATTAAAGCTTAATAGCTTAAGCTATTTAAAAGCGAAGGAAAGCGAGGAAAAGAGGGAAAATTCAAACGAACAATTGCTTTACGCCGAATTGCCGCTATTTGAAAGTGAAAGTAAAATGCGCACGCTTTTGCAAGCTATTTAAAAGCGAAGGAAAGCAGGAAAAGAGGAAACGCCCCCGCGGTGATACCGGTATTATCGGTGTTGTTACACGTCGATTAACCGGTGGGAAAATTTCCTCACCGTCACAACCGTATTTTATAGTAGTAATTTAAAGCTTTCTATAGATATATTTATCATGTCTGTGAGGCAAGTATTCGCTGAGTTTCGGTTCATTTTTGTGAAACACTCCTGTTCAAGACCGAGACGGCAGAAAAGCGCATCCTGTTTGTATTCTTTATTTTAAAAAAGCACAACGTTTTGTAGATTTGTAACCCTTTACAGTTCCGAATGATGCATTACTCCTATATTTATGAGCAAGTTGTTTCTGTTATTAAGAAAAAAATGCAAGTGATCGCGCCGGCGCCTCAATGTCCTGCAGGGCGCGCTTTAACTTCCACTCTTCGCACAAACGATTGGATATTATGCGCCTAACAGCACACATTTTTTTGTTAAACGTTTAAACTAACATTGTGATATGCTTGAAGTTTTTTATATCTATAGATTTTATTTTAGGCAAGTCGTGTTTATTTGAGAAGGCTAAATTGATCAAACGTGATGAACTCATTGTCTGCCGCTGGCCGCTTGGTCGTTACTTTAAAAAAACAAAAACTTGAATTTAAAAAACAAAAAATGTTCCAAACATATTTCTTAATTAACTTAATAATGAAAAGTTAAGAAATATAACCACTTTGCCATTAAAAACAAAACTGAACAATTTAATGGCTGCAACAACAGCTGTGCAATAGGGAAGAGAGAGAGAGAAAAAAGAGACTGGCTCCAGTCGGACTCGGGCCGAGAATTCTGATAAACTGTCAGACAATTTATATTTAGTTTCTTTCAATTTCTTATTAAGCGTCAAAAGAAAAAACACATTCATCTGGAAGAAGGGGGCCCAAATTTCTGTCTTGCATACTTCCCTTAAAACTCTTCATGGCGTCCCTGACTATATATACTGTGTGTGTATATATATATATATATATATAATATGCAATGAAATCTAATGCGAAATGCAATTTAAATATGCAATAAAATTGTTTGCTGTAATATTATAAAATGTTGCATATGCAAATATTAAATATAATATTTCATTTATTTATATACTTATAATCGATGACTAAGTCAGTAGTTGAAGTCAGTTGTAGAACATTTTTTATTTAAATATGCAATAAAATTTTATGCAAAATGCAATGTAAATATGCAATAAAATTGTTATATTATAAAATATGCATTGCATATGCAAAAATGAAATATATGAAAATATGCAAATAATTGTATACGTATAGTCAATGACTACTATAAGTCAGTAGTTTAAGTCAGTTGTAGAACATTTTTTATTTAAATATGCAATAAAATGTTTATGATATACTGAAATTGTGCAAGTATTAAATATTATATGTAAATACGTATGTAAAAATATTGTTTTGAATACTTAAAATGAATGACTATAAGTCAGTTGTAGAAATATTTTATATAAATATGCAATGAAATTTAATGCAATATGCAGTTTAAATATGCAGTAAAGTTGTTTGTTATAATATAAAAAAATATTGCATATGCAAATATTATATGTACATTTGCCAAAAATATGTTGTTTTGTATATTCATAATCAATGACTATAAGTCAGTAGTTTAAGTCAGTTGTAGAACATTTTTTATTTAAATATGCAATAAAATGTTTATGATATACTGAAATTGTGCAAGTATTAAATATTATAAATTTAAATATTCAATAAACTTAAGTTATGCTATAATATTATAAAATACTGCATATGCAAACTGTTAATGTTTGTTATTATATTACATTATAAAATATTGCATGTTGTGCTGTATACAGTGACTACAAGTCAGTAGTTAAAGTCAGTTTAGGAACATTCAGAAATACAGAAATTTAGGCAAAATAAAGACCAATCAGAAAGCGAATGTTTCTGTATTTTGTGATCCAGACACTCAGTTTGATGTGGGCAGCTGTAGTGTGAACGGCTCCGATCCTCTGAAGCCCAAATGTCCCGTGCTGAACGATGATAACATGCCGGCGTTCCCAGAATGGCTGACCATCATCATGCTGTGTGTCTATCTGCTCTTCGCCAACATCCTGCTGCTCAACCTCCTCATCGCCATCTTCAAGTGAGTACACAGACAGAGACGGGTGACCAGAAACACTTACCTGCTTCATTTGCACAGCGACTCTGTTTCCAAAGCCTACTGAGCTGACTTGATGTCTACTGTACATGCACACTGTACGCAGCAGCTCTGTGCATCATACAAATAGCAGTCTTTATGAAAGACTTAACTCATATTTGATTCCAGTAGACATGGTACTGTAAAAAGCATGAAAATGCACAACACAAACAAATGTTTTAGGACTGTACAAAACAAA